GAGAAAAACAGTTGGATCAAATTCGCCTGCGATCGGATAATAAATAATAAATACTTTTCGATCCACGAACATAGCACCTCGATACTTTCCAATGTTTCGTTTATGAGTTTCACGGAGAGTCGAAGTTTCGCGATCATCCGATACTTCTCGTCAGTTTAGTACTGTACGTCTACCGAGTTCCGAGAATTCCGAGATTTTTTGTCCCGCGGCAGACGTAATATTTTTAAAGAATTCAATGACCCTAACATTACTCCTCGGCGTGGTTTCTTCATGCTCGCGCCGAACGCGAATGCAATTCGACTCGTTCCAACCAAGTTTACACGATGATATTTCATGGAGTAGACTCGATCGTTTGTTCTTCGGTTTGAGCGTTGATAATTTAACGAAAATCAGAATAGTAGAGCAAAGGCTGTTTTCGCGTGGTAGATAGCTGTAACAAATCATTTTTCGTACTATATCGAAGAAAATTTGCTTTTTCATGCGGTGGAGAGGGACCGCATAAGAAATGTCTCGCCAGGAATATTCATTCTAAGAGAGCGTTTACGTCTAAAAATGAAATAAAAAAAACTATATCTAAATAGAAAAAAAAAATAATTAATTTACCTTTAACCTCACTTGAAAGTTAATCTTATCTTAACCGTCGAAAGATGCGTGTCCATGCACTCCGAGGATCGGTTGGTATGTAACAAGGGCGCACAAATGTAAGGTTTGACTGTAAGTACGTATGGGTGAAAAAGTATGAAAAAGAAGCAAAGAGAAAGAAATTGTTTTGCACCGAGTTTCACGGTGCGCGTTTTCTCGTCGATGACAGTCATGGATTCCGCTGAGGTGAATATTCTGTGTCATTGATGTCCTTTTTTTTTGGATGATAGGTATGACCACGTAGTTTACGAGCGCACATTTCCGTTGGCAGTACACGATCAGATTTTGTCACGGCAGGCACTCCCGCGTGTAAAGCGATTACGCGAAATTCGGCATACGAGGCTTTGATCCGGACCACGTTTTCGAAAAAGTGGAACGCTTGATAGGGCGAGCCGTCTCTTACGTTATCTTTGCTACGAATTCGGAGAACTCGTTTTTCCTCAAATTATTAGTAAGTAAATAATCGTGGATGCTTGACGCTCTTATAGAAAAGGAATAGTAGCGGAGAAATAGAAATAGAAATAATAGAGGGATAACAGGAAAAATGAAAGTTACGAAATCTGTACTTGATTTTTAAAGAATTTAATAATTGTAGCGTAAAAGGTAAGTAAGAAAGAAGAACGTAACGAAAGTAATCAAGTGTTTCGTTCTTACAGCTGATTTAGACACCAAGAAGCTGGTTAGCGCTAAAGTTTTGCAAAAATGTTAACCGGGATATTGTTATTAATCGTTTCGGTGCTGCTACTGCAGTATTTCGTTATATATAATAGCAAATTTGCGAGGATAATCAACGAGATACCAGGCCCTCGAGTAATGCCGATATTTGGGAATCTGCTCAAGTACTCCGTTTCGCCGTGTGAGTTCGAAAATTCATGTTATTAAAAACGACAGCTATGGTGAATCGGTGGCAATTTCATAATTTCTTATTACAGCGGAACTTTGGAATCTTATGCGAAGGCTGGGTAATCAATACTATCCAATTTATAGAATATGGACTTTCACAGCGCCGATGGTTTACATTCGTCATCCGGATGATATGGAGGTGAGGAATAAATTACTCAAGTTTTACGTACCTTTTTGCATATTACCGCGTAACGACGTACACCAGCCTCCTTAGCTATTGCTTTTCCTAAAAAGAAAAAAGCGATGAATGTGTAAACGAAACGCATTTACAAATGAATGCGAAAATATCGTATCTTCGTTGTTGTATAATACAACGAAAGAGCGCAAGATTTAACGCGTCAATCGGAAAAAAGTATAACTCAACGATAAAAGAAACTTCTTTTGCGATTCAGGTGATTCTTGGAAATCCCAAATCCAACCAGAAAAGCGAGGTGTACGATCTTCTTTTGCCCTGGTTCAACACCGGACTCCTAACCAGTTCAGGTATCGAATATTAAAACAAAGTTCGCGTTAATTCGATCGTTTTAATTAGTCGAGTTTCTCCAATCGAGTTTCACCGATTTCGGCGGCGATCGTTTCCATTTCGACTCGTTTCAGGTCCCAAGTGGCAAGCACGCAGGAAGATATTGACGCCAGCCTTTCATTTCACCGTGTTGCAACAATTCTCCGAAGTTTTCATGGAGGAAACGGAGCGTTTGATCAACAGCTTGAAGGCGGAAGGTGGCCCAGTCGTCAAAGATCTGATGCATTTTTACAGCGAGCGCACTTTGAACATGATATGCGGTAAAATTTTTTGTTGTACGAATACTATGCTTCGGTAGAATCTGTATTATCTCGAGTTTACGATAGGGGAACATTGTGACGTTTATCGTGTACGTTTCATTGCGGTTGCACTTTCAGAAACTGCGATGGGGGTTTCGTTGAAAGACAAAGGGAAATTCCAATACAAGTATCGAAAGGCTATATCCGATTTTGGAGATATCACAGTGTACAGGTAATTAATGCTGCTCTCGGTCGGAATGAAATAAATCGTTCGATTGATTAATGGGAAAAATAAACTATCGTTAGATTATAAAACTCTCTTTTAAATCTCTGTTTAAAATTTGATGATCGCTACGTGGAAATTTGGATGCATGGAAAATTGAAATTACAACGATAAATTCGATACGATGCACTGCGTTTCATATTAATTTTGTAGATTCGTAAGACCATGGCTGTACTCGGAGTTTCTGTTGAAATTCCTTCCTCTAGGATGGCGTCTAGCCAAAGTGCTCAAAATAATGCACAATTTCACTAACGACGTAAGAAATACAATTTCTGATTTAAACAGTATAAATTGCATGTTTTAATAGTATATAAATTAATCGATATTTACCCGAGGGAACTGCTGCAGTTCGGTTGCAGATTATAGCTACGTTGATATGTTATAGATCATCGCGGAAAGGAAAGACTATCATAATAAGACGAATGGCCGATATCTAACCGGCTTCGACGACAATTCAAGTAAAACGGGAACTGGAAACGACGATGGAAGTAAGCGATTCGTGGTTAATATTAATTACATTAATCGATTAAATACGTCGACATCAATAACAATGCTATTTGTTTGCAGTTCGTAAAAGAAGGCTCGCCATGCTGGATCTTCTGATAGCCGCTCATCGAGACAATCAGATAGACGACGAAGGTATCAGAGAAGAAGTTGACACCTTCATGTTCAGGGTAACGTTTCGTTCTATCAACAAATTTATTTCAATCTATAATTACACGTATCATATGAAATATATTTTTATTCGCAGGGTCACGATACCACGGCGGTGTGTCTTTGTTTCACCACTATGCTCCTAGCTCAACACAAAGAGATTCAGGTGACTCTTTGACGATCAATTTAGCTCGTACAGTTCACGAATCACCTTTCAATCCTCGATAGAACATTCGGAATAATTCGTAAGCAGACTGCCGATGTTTACGCATTTACGATAAATGAACATTTGGATAAATGTGCATAAACACAGAAATGTATAAACTGTCAACGATAGAATACATGTCAGATTGATTAGTAGATGAGATACACTTTCATTTGAATCTCAATCCTTTTTCCGAAGCTGTAAAAATATGAATTCGCATAAACATCCGCAGTCTATTCGTAACGAGTGTTCGTAAGTTTCCTACAAAGATGAAAATAGCGACGAAGGTATTTTTTCTAGGATCGAGCCAGGGAAGAAGCGGACGCGGTTATGGCAGCATGCGACGGCAAAGTCACGATGTCCACCCTACAAGATCTGCCGTACCTGGAGAGGTGCATCAAGGAATCCCTTCGACTTTATCCAAGCGTGCCGTTTATATCGCGTCGACCTGAAATGGACATGAAATTAGGTAACTATGAAAGTCTGTGGCCTGCTCGTTAACACGTTGACTGCCGGACTGATTCCCGAGGGAATGCCTACAGGGTTAAAATTGTGTCTCAAGACAGTTGTAAACTAAAACATCTGACGTTTGTCGTGTTACTTATTTTTTATGTCGTCGTCAAAATCTGCGAATTCTATTCAGACTTATCTTCATTAATACATTAGCTGTTAAAATGAACTGCTGAAGTTCCTTAGCAAAAATCTCTGTCACTCATATATGGGTGACGTGGCGTTCAACGTGCTAAACGCAAAGAGCCACGATAAAATACAGCTTCTGTTCTTCTTCTTACCCGATGCGAAAGAAAATTCGGTGCTATGCAATTCAACGTTTCCAGGCAATCACTTTGTACCTGCCAATACGGTGGTGAATCTGCTCATAACCGACACCCACAGGGATCCCAGGTACTGGCCTAATCCGGACACCTTTAATCCCGATAGATTTTTACCCGAGAACTCGAAAGGCCGCCATCCTTACTCTTATCTACCTTTCAGCGCTGGACCGCGAAACTGCATAGGTAAGGGGAACGTAAGGAACGTCTCGAAACCGAAGTTTCATTTTCGATAAGCTCTTAATTTGCATCAGAGCCGAACGAGTACAGTTCGTTGTGAAAAAGGTTCGTTTAAGCGAACTTTTGGTTTTTCAACACGCAGGTCAACGATTCGCCATGATGGAAGTAAAGACAACGTTGCTGTACATGTTGCATAATTTCTATTTCGAGCCTGTCGATCCCACCGAGAACATTTCCATGAGCGTGGGCGTGGTTTTGCGTCCCACGAACCCTATCAGAACGAAATTCATCCCCATCGAGCACTAGGGTTGAAGAGCGAATGTCGACGATGGTTTTCGTGGACGGTAAGCGAAATTTATTATCGTAATAATGATAGCAATAGAAATTAATGTACGGTTTGTCGGTTATTTTCAGACGGGGTGTTGGAAACGTGTTGATCTGCTCGTAAGCAGGAAACGTGAGACTTTGGAGTACAAATAATGTGGTTTTTAACGTTACAATGATAGAAGGATTCTTAACGACACGGTATTTGATTTTCGTAACTTACGTTCAGTTCGTTAAGGAACCGTTCGATAGGGACAGGCGTAAAATAAAATGTACGGAACGTTTAGTTGACGATCACTTTTAATAGTTGAAATAGGAAAACAATGTACAGATACAGAATTTACATTCCTAGCCGACAAAAGTTGCTAGATAAAATGTTAATCGTAAAAAATGAATTGAAATAAAACGATACACTTAACGAGCGGCTTATTCCTTTTATCTATTCGCTTATCGGTTAGTCCTTTACCTATTTACGATGATTGAATTATTAATTATAATTATGCCTTCTGTATAGACACACAGGTGTGAATACGTAATGGAGATTCTTAAAAGCTACACAATGTTTTTTTTCTCTTTACTTTGGTTTTAAAGTAAGGACTAGTATGTTGAGCTTCGCTCTGTCTCTATGTACGTGTTGAGAAACGAAGAAAAGCGTAGCGTCGATAAAACGAACTCTGGCCGTTCGATTTTTTCCGAAAAAATCAACATATACATATATCGGCACGCTAATTTTCATGGGACGATGTCGCGTTCGCGTCGACGATTAAGAATCCAATGATCGTCGAGTACATCGATCACCGTCGTTCCTCGTTCGACGGGTCGCGACATCATTCGTAAAATACCGATCACATCCGCTATGAGCACAGTTTATGTAGGAGTTAAATTACGCATATCAACAACGAATGCATTGCGACGCGACGTATGCGTACGATGAAGTACTCTTTCTTCCCTTATAATCGGATTATGGTCGCATTCGGTGCATCTTCGCGCAACTATTCGTGATGGAGGCTAACATTCACAGGGGGAAACTATAGTTACAGTCTTTCGATGAACCGTTGAGAGTAGAACAAAAATTATTTTTGTTTTATTACTAAACCAGGTGACGATGTTTGACCGATGAAAATAAAGTAATCCTTCTCGCGAAGCTTTGCCGAAGGCATCCTATAAATCTAGCGACCGAGATCCAATAACTGAGAATTCTTTCTTTGTCGGGATACTTTAATAATTCTGTTACGTTTATTAATAAATCCACCAAAAGCTGATCGACGCGACTCGTGTAAATTGCGAATTTTCTACCGTCAAATTTCGTAGCCGTATTTACAATTCCAGCGTCGCGTGTCAGACTGTAACACCCCCGCGAATCATTCTTCGCGGGTAATAGTCACGGCCGGAAACGTCCCGATGCGACCACAGCCCATAAACGTTCTAATTAATGTAACTGCGATGAAGGCACGAGGCGTGTGTATCGAATCTTGTGCGATGGGTGCAATGAAACGTGCACAAGACATTCGAGAGGGGGAGGATATAAATGTTTGCCGAGCATAAGATCGCTTCTCTGACTATATTTCTACGGTGAACGAACGTCGGAACGTTATCGATAATTTACACAGACGACAAGCGAAGCTCACAGAGTAATGTATACCATTTAGAATTGGAAATGTAATTTAGAATTAGAATGTAAAAATACTATGTATATATACAAGTAATTAATGTACCAAATTGCTGGTACCTTAGTTTATATTACACGGTTTCTCATCCTCTTTCTTTATGTCTCCGTTTGTCTTCTTCTTCTTATTTTTTTCTTAATCGTGGGAGAGCATCTTTACCTCGCCAGTATTATCGGTTGTACTTAAGAACAGCGATGATTGCTCGAAAGAATAACATTGCATTGTAAATTCAGCCGTGACGGCGGCCCGCGTAACAGTATGTATATCGTCTCGCTATGCATCATGTACTTTATACATAGAGAACGTCAAATTTTCTTGTTGGCACATAAACGGAAGCAACATATATTCGATGATACGCTTAACGATTCACGATACGCCGTTCGTTTGTATCGATACACGTGATAAATTGTCTCCCCGTTCGACGGGCGAGTGATCGGCATCGAGGGGTCCTGGAAACGAGCCATCGTGGCCAATTTTACGTTGTCGACGGAGTATAATTTACAGATCTAACGGCAAACGAATCGTTGCCGTCGACCGCGTCGCGCGAGAACTTTTTATTTGGCGCGTTTCAGCAGGTTTCTCGAGGCGATCGGTTGTCGTCTGTCCCAAGCGCGAGGATTTCTCGCCGCGGTAATCGATTATCGTGATCGAAGAATAGCGTTCTGCGAATTGAAAAAGTGTTCGTGTTGCCGAACGTAAAATCGAATCGAAATGTAAAAATCGAGTCGTTTGTGAACATCATAAAAAACGATTTAAAACGGCTCAGTGCTTGTCCAGTCTTCGCCTCTTGTGGTAATGGTAATTTGGAACGGATAAGTTCGTTACGATAAAATTCGTCACGTCACTTTCGGCGATTACGAGACTCGCGCATGTTCCACCCCGCGACCATGATCCGCGTCGTTCATCGCAGCGCTCCCGCGGGGAGCGAACGACGCGTCGCTTTCGTGTGTCTGGCGAGAATCGTTTATTTTGTTTTCGGTCGGTTTTCTTCTTTCTTTCGTCTTTTTTTTTTTTTCGTTTTCGTTAACATTATTTTCTTCAAAAATTGGAAAGAACAGAGAAAAAGGAACGAATACGAAGAAGAAACATCAAAAGTGATACGAATACATTTACGAACTATTTACGAAAGCTCTCGATCGTTTCTCCTCTTAATTTGATATAATTCGTTATGCATTTTATTTTCTTCGTGTCTATCTAAGTGTATATGTACATTATATACATGTAAAACGTTTAATTTATCCTTCGTATCTTAATGATTGTATAATTAGGATTGACTATGTCTTAGAATAATCAACAGAATTATTAATTATCGTGTAAAATATGAAATATCGTACTGTTAGATGGTATGTCCATCTCCAAGGTACCATTTTGGACGAATATCGGTCCGTCTAACATGCCTAGCACTTTGATGAGCAAATACTTTGGAGATTACATAATCTAATAATATCAGGTAATATTAAGTATAGATGATTTTTTTTTCCTTGTTATTAATTACAAATATAAAACATGTATATGTAAATAGAATTCTTAATTATGCGCAAACATGTTCTCTAATTGAGCATACGTGAATTTTTTTTTTTTTTCTTCTTCTTCATCATCAGTCTAAGCCGAACGGTGCGGCTCCATACACAACAGCAGCGGTTAACAATACACGTTATTATTAATTAATTTTTTTTTTCTTTTATTTCTTTAAGCTTTGTAGAGTCTACCGTAACAAATCAGTGTTCCTCCCCGGGCAATGAAATAACGATAGCGCATGCTACGAAAACGTTATTCGTAAAACTTTCAAACGGTTCCCAAGCATAAAACACACATGACAACGACGCGGAAAGTATAAACTCAACGACATCCTTTCGGCGTTTGCCGCGCGCAAGTATCTACCGTTGGCGCGCGAGAAGAACGAACCACCGTGTTCTGAGAGGGCGACGTCGTCATCCATTTACGAACGACGCGTTATCTACGCGGAATAAACCCTTCGCGCTCTAGATGATCTCACAAGACGTCTCAGCAGCTGTGGATCGGTTTCTCGCGATCGGTCACCTCTCTCTCGGCCGCAAAGGGTTTATCGGTGCACAGCGAACACGGACGTCAGAGGTCGAGTCGGGTTCGTTCTTCTCGCGCGCCAACGGTACCATTCTTTCGTCTTCCCGTCACGCGTGTCCCAGGATATAACAGACTCGATCGGTTCTCGCCTGGATCGACGAACGATCGCCGATCGCGGGAAAAAACGAAGAAGTGAAAATAGACGGGGATCGATCCTCGGCGCATCGTTTACGCTCGAGACACCAATGACAAGCACGATTGCTCGGAATATACATGCTCGCGCGTCGATTCTCGTACTTCATCTATGTATATATGTTCGCCAGCGCGTGCGAGCGTGCGCGGATATGCGAGAAACGCGATTTCCGTGGTGTATCTTCGGAGCAATCCTACATGCGTCCGTTTTAATCGTTCGCGATCCGGATTCTTCGAGTTTCTGATCGCTCTAGGACCGCGAACGGTTAACTTTTATATCCTGTACGATACGCGAGCCAAATTAGAAGCGGCGACGTGCGTAGATTTCTCAACGTGATTCATCGATGATCGTACACAGAGAACATCGGACGTGAACAGTTTTCCTCTCCTCTAATTAGTTTTGCGTGTGATTCGTATGAAATTGATACAGATTGGGCGCGCATCGATCGTGATCTTTCCATGGAAATTGAACGAAACTTACACTTGTCGACTGATTCTACGGGTTGTCATAGTTGCTCGAGGCGATTGCACGCGTCGTTATGTTTTCTACGAGACACTTACAACCCTCTCCCTCCCCCCTTCCCTCCCCCCCCCCTCCGTGTTTACGATAGGCCAACCACGCGCGCGGTTCTTTTTTTCGTAACGTTTCTTTACTTTTTTGTTTTCGATTCGTCTTTCTTCAAAAATATACGTCGATTGCTTAGGCTTTCGATAAACGGAAAGACGTTGTCTCGTACGACAACTGGTATTATTCTTCGTCCCCTTCCTCATCTTTTCGGATATAATTCGTGGCCTAGCGTAATAATCCTATACAATATTTCATTAATAGCTTAGGTAAAGTGAGACCCTCATATGATCCATTTTTTAATTACTTTTTTTTTTTCTGGGCTGTGTTTGCACGTGTGTATGTGTTTGTGTGTATTGTGAAACGCTGAGACATATCGCACTCTATTTACAAGGATAATCAATCTTTAATGGAAATAAATGCAAAAATATATGTATGTATAAACATTTAGTCGAACTACGTTTTTTTCTTTTTTTTTCTTTCTTTCTGTTCTTAACGTTTCTTGTACAACGACCGTTTATGCAAATGCAACTTCTAACTTGGCTGTGCCAGGGAAATAGTTTACTCTTAACTAAACTCATACGCGTATAATTAAACTTATGTACTATTGTCTTTTTTTCTTTTTCGAAGATATCACTACTCCAAGACACTCACTTTTATTTTCCTTTCCTATCGTTTATCTTTCGCGTTCGTTTGCTTTCTTTTATCGTTCACGTTACTTCTGTATATATAGATTTCGCTGATTATGTTGTTCGTGTGTTATTTCGGTTTTCCCTGATTCTCTGTATCGTTTCGTTTACGATATTTATACTTTTTGTTTCGGGTAGGATATATACGTATAAGTGGCTCGAAGCTATCGCTGTTTCAGGAAAATACGTGTAGCGAAATTTTTCGTAATAATAATACTAATAATAATAATAATAATAATAATAATAATACTAATAATAATAATAATAACCTTACGTCAATTAATTGCAAAAACGTTCGTGTTTCGCGGTACAGGAATAAAAAAAATCAGGCAGTGAAAGTAGTCGAACTTTCGTCACTTAGAAGAAATAGTCTCTAGTAGTCGGTTAATCGTTAAATCCGTTCGATACCAAATGATTCGTGCGCGTGGCACACGCCATTGTGCGAGAACTGAATGATCGCATTTGAAACGCTTGATGCATAAACGCGCGAAGAGTCAACGAAAAAAAAGCTACTTATCAGCTACGTTAGAAAAGTTATCGTTAACCATCGATGGACGATACTCGTATAATATTTGGCAACTTTTTCGTAATATTCAATTACAAAATATCACTAACTGTACCGCGTGTCGCGATAAAAGATTTCGAAAACAATTCGCTCGCTAGGAGCGCGCCGATTTTGTTAACCGAGGCAACGTTGTTAGCAAAACGCGACGAAAAGGAAACAAAATCAGCGTTGGACGTCACGTGAGAACAGATCTATAGATGTTCTCCTAACTTTACAGTCACGGTTTCATCGTTTGCATTTGTGCTTGCGTAAACGTATCTATCTCGATATATTGAAATCTCTTAAACACTTGGCGGAATCTATCAACGATCGTGCGTTTAGCGAACGGAAACGCTCGCTTCGTCGAACACGTGGAATAGAATTGTGAGGTGTACGATGTCCGAAGTGGCGCGAGAGATTTCGTAACGGTGGTTGTACGAACAAATGCAAGCGGTTAAGGGTTAAACTATTCGTAGTATTGACTTTTGCACTCGGCAGTGAAAATGTGTGTTTTTTCATACGTTTTGTAGAGTAGAATACAAATTCGACGGTATAAAAAGAGTGAGGTGAATCAACGAGGATTAATCGAACGTTACGAAACGCAAAATCGTTTTGTGCACGTGAATCTGAGATTATTTTTCAGCATTTCTCCTATAAACGAATGGTAGAATAGTTTCTATATTTTGTTGACGATGTATAAGATGTGTATTATTATTTATATCATTAAATCCATAATGATAGAAATCGATGTTCGTTTAAGAAACCCAAATAACATCTCATTAATTTGTAAGTAAAACGTCGGACGATAACGTGGCGAACACTCTGCGCGTATCTTTCGTATCGTGGAGAAATTTTGAATAGAGCGAATACCCGTGCGTGTGTCTCTATTTTGTTATACAAATCCGCCAAAGTGGAGTTTCTAAGCTCGAGGAGGCCGAAGCAGCGTCACACTCGCACGTCTCGCGCGTTCCCTAGGGATTTTCTAAACCTTTATCTAAACGTCGCCTATTTTAGTACCTATCGAACTCGTCGAGTTCGTTTCAATTCACCAAGCGTCACGACAGACCGTTCTCTTTCGCGAAACAACTAGCTTCTTTCGCTCGTCGCGATTACAACGCTTTCTTTCCCCATTTAACAAGTAAGATCCGTTCAATCTAACAGAGAACGCGTCGCGATTAATGAGCAAGAGGGAAAGGGAAGAAGGAAATCAGTCGGATCACTACCGATTACGAACGTCGTCAACTGTTTCCCTGTGTAAAACGATTGTCTCGCTTCCTTCGAATTTCAACCAAGAAGTCGGCCAATGTCCTGGTAGACCTCTCTCTTTCAACCAATCGCGAACGAAACCATGGACGGTCGTGCGTATTCACGAAACGAATAAAAAAAAAAAAAAAAAAAAAATAACAAATCACGGGAACTCGACTTCACGATAACATCGAGAGCAGCATCGTTGATCACCCCGAGTCATCAACGTGTTCGACCGATATCCGTTAGGGCTTCGCTGTTATCGAGATTACTTTCAAAAGAGCGGCCATCGAAGGGTTTCCCTGTCGACGACAGCATCGGTATGTTTGTATATGTGTATATATATAAAAAGAAAAACGTAAATTGGAACCGAGCGTCAGCAGGTTCTCCAATCTCAGTTATTTCGATCTAGAAAGTATCGTGCGTTCCTAATGGATCGTTGATCGTCTTCTTTCTCCTAACTTAGGTTGTTCAACCATCGGATCACGCGAGTTTGTCTACGGTACAAACTACGAGTAACTTATTCCAAGATAAGAGTAGTAAGGCATAAACGTGATCGTAAAATCCATACTATACCTCTGCGCTCTCGGGGAAACGGAACACCACCTCGCACCGTTCCTCGGCGCGTATATCCTTTTTCCCCCTTTTCCGTTCACGTAGACACATCGTCGAACGTTCCTCCGTTTCACTACGAAGTCGGCACAACGAGGAAAAAAATAAACAACTCATCGTACGCGAACGCAACCGAAAAATCATTGAGCAAGCGGCGAGCGATTCTCCCCGATCGTTCTTCGGTTCGACGCGTGACACGCGAAACGTAAACTACTCCGTAAAAGTTCCGCGGTCGAGGTACATTATATACACGCACACCTTGTCCACGGGGAAACAAACGACGGAAAAAGAAATAAAGAAAAAAAAAAAAAAGAAAAAAAAAAAAGAACAAAGAAACGAAACGAAACGCTGCATTTCCGGTTCGTAACATTGTACCGCGTGCTTAGTAAAATTACGTTAATATAGCCCGTACGCGTGCGGTACAGGTCTCTCTGGTATTTACATGCTTCTTACTTTCTTTTATGTTCAAGGAGGATATATGTATAAGGTCGTCGGGGGAAACACCCACACGAAACTGTTTCGACGCGGGGGTGTCGTCGACGGCGTCCCTCGCGAGAGATGGAGAACCGATCGTTGAACGTCGCGAGCGACGCGTGAGGCCGTAGGATCCGTTCGATCACCCACGAGTCGTTGATTAGAGCCGGGTGGTTCTTTCTGTAACGATGATAGTCTCGTCCCTCGGAACGGCGCGGTACTTGCCGCGCACGGTGCTGGGGCCGAAGATGGGTGATCCTCAGACAAGATGGCCATCGATGTCGGAGTAGGCCGGCGTTGGGGTGAATGTCGACAGTGGATGGCCGTGGGCGTGAGGATTTCCGGATACGGAGCGTGCGAAGGTCGTCGGTGGCGGTGGCACGGACGGAGGAATCGGCGATTTCGATCCGGCTGTCATCACGGTCACGTCGGGTGGTGGAACGGGACGCGGCAGGGTCCTGCTGCGCGTCAGGGTGCCCGTTCCGGTCAAGTGACCGGACACGATGTGCCCCGTGGGACTCATCGACGGGTAGTACGATCCCGAACCTGGCTCCACCACTGGAATCGGGCTGTGGTTCGTCTCGTATCCCATGTATCGGCCGTTGTCGATCTCCACGCTGTAGAAGTTCACGTCGTTCGGCGGTGCTGGACTCGGGTTCCCGATGTAACTCGATTTCGAAACTGCAAGTTGGGAAAGTTGCGTCAACGGAGGCTCTTCGTCGCCGCTCGCGAGGGTATTGATTCCGGGTAGAGAAATTTAGGGGGCTGGAAGTCGCCGAATATAGTTGGTAAATCGCGTATAGGACGAGTGGCCGAGGTAGCTAAGGACGAGCTGGGCCATACGAATATCCTCTATCTCAGGTTCGAGGTAGCTTTATTCTTCTTAGGGTTTGGAGTATGTTAAATCATTCTCGTTGCCGGGTTTGCGGCGAATATAAACTAAACGCTCTTAACGCATTGTTCAATTTATGAAACCCCGGGGATATAAAATATTGCAAAAGCTTTGCTCATCGTGTTATGCATGTAAAATATTTCATTTGAATTCATTATGTTGGTAAAATATAAATAAAGTTTATTGGTGTTTATTTAGATTGTTTTAATTTCACATTTAATTACGAAATAATAGCCGGTGGCATGAAGTAGCTACTGTGTAAAATTGTCAACAATGTGTCAACGGGGTAATCACGGGTGCTCTACCATCTCTTTTCGTTATATTTATAATAAAATTGCAAAAGTGCACGTACCAGAAAGCGTCCCACTCGCCGTCGTTCGCTGTGGCGGCGAATCCATACTCATGGGTGGTTGAATGTGGTTGCCACGACGACCAAGAGTCCCCTGATGATGTACCTGCATCTCCAAGTTCCCTTTCCCAAAATCTTGCATGGTTTGGTCTATTAAATACGTGCTAGCGGCCGTCTTTCGTCCCTCGTCCTGTCGCGTCACACAGAGAGAAAGGATTACGTTAAACCGGGGCACGTCGCAGACGTTAAACCTGCAACGGATCTACGAGATCGGTCGAAACTCTGATACCAGATATCGGATAAGAATCGAGGAGCTTCGTCCATTATTCGTAGCGTATCAGTATGAAGCGCGTTACCGGAAGCAACGCTTCGCGTTCACTTTTTGTTCGTTAGTCTCGTCATTCTGATACATTACGAGAATTCTCGACGCGTGTACGTGCATGGGAAATAGTTCTAAGCATCCAACCCAAAACCTGCCTACACTTAAGGACACTGTGAGAAACGAGGTGAGATTCCGCTAAGTATAAGAGCGAGAAAAATAAAAGAAAAGTGTTAGACTCTAGAAGGGCTTGCGTCTAAAAAGGAGTTATGTCTCTGCTACCGGTTAGGCTCCGGAGGAGTTTACGACTGCTATGAAAATCGTAAGTGCGAGGAAAAGGAAAAATCAAAGTATTCGTCGAGAAAAGATACGATTGAAGAGCGTGAAAAAAGGGATCCAAGGGAGGTATAAACGAAACAGGAAAGCGTTAATAAAAGTGGAACGTGTTGCGTTTAGAGTTCGCGTTCGGAACTACTGGTTAGGCTTCGGTAGAGTTCACGGTTGTTATCTAAATCGTGATGCGAAAAAGAGACGATGCGAGAGAAGAGAAGAAATCGAAGTATCCGAGGCTACGGTCGAGCTAAAAGTGCGACGGGGGGTCCGATACGGACGTAAAACGGAACAGAAAAGTGTTAATAGAACTCAAACCTACCCTCCGGCATTACTTGTTACTAAGAACATACTGACTGATCGCACTGACCACGTAATCGTTAGTGTCGAAGTTAACGTCGCTCTTCTCGTCCGACACCGAACTTAATTCACCGGTCATGGTGTCTCCGTTCACCGTGGATGGTGCGTACATATCAGCTGTCTGCGATTTGTTAATACCTGTGCAAATGAAACAGAAAGAACGATTAGAAACGTGGTGACGTCGCGGCCGATGCCTGTTAGACGCATTACGTTACAAAATTCGCTAGAGGCGAGGCAAACGTGTTTGCCTTGCCCTCGACGTGTTCACTTACGATCTTTATTTCGTTTTCTCATAATGTACCACAACGCGATGATCAGGATATTAATGACAAAAAAGATGAGGGAGGTTGCAGCAAACGTATAGATATAATTCATTGCAAAATCCCCCTTCTCCAAGAGAACGTCCGGCAGGTTCTCAGCGTTATTCGGTCCTAGAGGGATAAGCAGAAAGAAAAATATATGTGACAGTGATTATATTTACCGGAACGTTGGGCCTTCTTTTTCGATTTTAATGTAGCAAAGGCTATGGGCGCAGCAATGAGTAGGCAAACAGAGGCGGAAACAGTGATGATAATGACGATGATGTAGGAAGAATTAATCTCGCTGGATGTCACGTCGGTAGGTGGTGCCTCCCCTGTAAGCCAAGCCAACGCACCCATCACCGAATTGTTATTCATGCAACGGCGGGTCCACAAATGTTAGTTACATTTAGCACGGCGAATCGATAGTTAAACGCACTCGCGCGACATTTCATTAGCGCATCTAAGTCCATCAGCAATGGTAATCTTTCGCTTGAATCCGTGATTAGGCACACAAATGACGCCCGACGTACGCGATAGCGCACGGAATTTAGGGGGTGTTCCCTTTATTGGCACGACAAACGATATTACCAGCTCGATGTTAACAAACCACTTTCGCGTTAACACGTTACGCGCCACGCCGATCTTTGAGAAAGTCATGGTTCGAGAAAAATGATTTTCATCCGTTACTACGAATGGAACAATAGAATTTTCGTCTGTTAGTTTAATGTAAAATGGTCGCGTATAGGTCTTGCATTTAAAGCGTTACGTTGGACTCGAAGAGCTAAAACGAGATTAGAGAATACTAAGGGTTATATTTAAGGGTGGAATATCAAGAGAATCAACAAATGTATTCCACTAATTCCGTTGCGGCACCTCGCGTCGAACTTGACACCTTAAGCGCAAGAATTCCTTTCGAAATGCTCAATGTTTCACTACGAGTCTACGGAAGATATTAGTCGACATTAACTACTGGTACAAAACGAAGCCACGAATTAGCTACATACGATCGACAACATGTCCCCCTACTAACAGATACTACACGTTTAAATGCATGGTTTCAACGCGTGATTGACAACACGCCGGTACGCACGATGCGAAAGGTATTTTTGGTAATTGAAGCGATTACATGATTTCGCATCGAATTGTTAGTAAAGGAGTACCGTTGTCACGACAACGATTCGTTAAGACTGTTAGCATTGCGGATGGTAATCCAAATGGCGAGGTACTATTCGCTCTAAGAAGCAATAATTACGGCAGAGCGTGAATACTATAAAATTTCGATGACTTACGTAGCGTCTGAACTTTCACGATGTCGGGTTGAAAGCCACTGTCTCCCTTCTCGTTAATGGCTTTCACGCTGAACACATAGTAAGTCCCCAGGGAAAGTCCGGTTATCGTGGTTTTATATTCTCCCGGGGAAACGTCTAGATAGTGGTATCGATCCTCGTAGTCGAGCGCCTCGCGCCAACGTATTTGGTAGGACGTCGGTAAGCCACCGTCGAATGCCCTCTTCCACGTCAAAGTGACCGAGTCGTGGGTCACGTTATAAACCTCCAGATCGGTGGGTTTGTCCGGCGGTGACGTGACGTCCAAGTGTATGATATCCGTCGACTGTCCCATTTTGTTCATCGCACGGCATTCGTATTTCCCGTAGTCGGTGGACGTTACGCGGAAAATGGTCAGCGTCGACTCGGAAAATAGTTCGCTCAGCTGGAAAAACAGTGATTCTGATAAGTAACCACGCGCCATACCGAAAGTATACAGAGTTGCCGTCGTTATTCAGGGTTGTCAAAAAGTTATATTAACACGTTGGTCGCCACGTCACCCAGAAATGGGTGACAGGACTGGGACTTGGTTGAGAGGAGTGGCGTTGCGTGTATGGATGGCGAGAGTGGTGAGTGTTGAAAGCGATTTAAGTAATAAGAAAGGGGTAGGTATACACACAGAGTAAAAGAATTAGAGGTGTTAGGACTGAAATTCTGCGGGTGACAGGACTGTTAAGGACCGTTAAGGAACTAAACAAATTAATTTCGAAGCCGAGGCGATGAATTTGGCGAGGTTGCAAAAATGAAATATTAGAACCAGTGTTAAATTATCCAATCTTCGACAGCCTGGAGGCGACGTTTTAACTCTGTAGAAATTGTCACGAGTTTTAGTCCGGCAGCCAACGTGTTAATTCCACGAAAATATGAAAATTAACCACCGTTCTCGAGTTCACCACGTAACGTTGACGATATTCGGTACGACTTACATCCGTGTGCGTGACGCTGTACTTGTGTTCCGTAACATTCGGCAACAAAGTCTTCCCGTTGAACGTCCAAGCGAATCTGGGCAACGGGGAGCCTCTCGCTTTGCAAAACAGCTGCACGTTTATCCCTTTGTTCGCCGCCGCTCTTCTCGTCAAAGGTGTGTTCATCATTTGCGGCTTGACTGTAACGATGCAGTAATTTATCAAACGCGGCCGCGTGAAATGTCTGTTGTTTCTCGCTATTTACGTCGGAATCGCATTGTTTCTGGCTCGAACGCGCTTAAAGAAACCGTGTCGGTTTAAATCGGTGTACGATACATACAGTTCGTAACGAAGAGAATGGGCTCGGAGGTAACGTTGCCGATCCCGTTGTTGGCTTTGCACTGGTACTCCCCGACGTCTTCCTGATCGGGATTTTCGATGTGCAGATAAGAAGTTTTGTTGATAAAAGAGGTGGAATAGCGCCCGGAGAGCTCCGAGTTCGAGCCAACTTTCTGCCACGTGACGTACTCGTCTCCTATGGGGCTACCGTCCACCTCGCAGAACAATTTAGCTTCGATTCCTGGAGGATACACTATCCCGGAAGCCGAGGTACGTTTAATTTTTGCCGAGTCTGGAATGCATACGGTACAAGATCAAATATTGAGAATCTTGCTATTGTTACGTAGCAATCTGGAAATGCAAATTGACACAGCGAGAAGTAGCAAAGACGAAGGTTGGTAGGAAAGATGAATGCGTCCAGGAACTTGTACTTTTTTTCTTCTTACAAACTGTAGGGAAATCATGGAAACCAGGGGTTGCGTCTACTTACATTGCACAGTTAGATTTAATTGGTAGAAAGTCGTTCCTTCTTCGTTGGTCGCTTCGCAGATGTAGGTTCCAGCGTCGTGGCGATCCAGCTTGGTGATGTTCAACATAGGCCCGCGAACGGATATTCTCCTGTTGCTGCTGACCAATGGCAAACCGTCTCTGGTCCATGTGTACTTTATGTCGTTGGGATTGGCCATGGCGGAGACGGAAATCACGAAAGGTTCGCCCTCCATTCCGATCAACTCGTGAGGCTCTATCGACGAGAATATCGGCTTGTCTGCGGATGGAATTTAATTTTTGCAATTTTCTTTCAATCGTTCGATTTATAAAATAATTCTTAGTATACGATAGTGCTTTAACGCGATTCTATTCAGACCTTTCAGTTGGAATTACGGAATTATTTTCGAGTAATTTGGTATCCTCCAGGTGTAACGAGAATTCTCTCTGTCGCGAGTATCATCGATATTAGTTTACTTACACAGCACATCAAGAGTCGTGGCATCGTGAATCGACCTTTCCATTTGATTATTTCTCGCTTGGCAAGTGTACACCTCCCCGTTCATGTCTTCGGTGACGTCCATCGCGAGCTCCACGAACGACAGAAATCCACCGTGCAAGCCAGGCTTGGTGCCATTTTTGGTACCCTGGACAGGTATGCCGCCTTTCCACCAAGACATCTCCGCTGCCGGGTTGCTGCTGCTCGACTCGCAGATGATGCGTCCTTCTTGGCCCGCGTGTAGGTCCTGAGGATCGCGCGTGATCTTCACTTTGTCCGGTGGGACTGAAACAGGAAAACGTCATTTGCGAGTCATCGAGAAATGCTTACGAGAGACTTTCGAAGTTGTTGAAAGTAGTCGAGGACAAACTTTAGGGGCGCGTACCAATTAAGCAATTAAACCAATTAAACAAACCTTCGACGAACGCGATTCATTTTGACGGAATATCGTCGTCTTGACGATAATTGCGGGAGAAAGAAGCTGGAAATTCCTGCAGGTACGAGAGTAACAGATCCGATAAGGAGCCCTAATTACGCGGTACAGAAATCTCCGTTTCTGCGGTCAATTATATCTTTCTACCTCTAATTTCTCAATCTTACTATGGTAACCAATTATCGAGTACGGATTTCAGGTAAATAAATTTTATTTATACGAAGATGTTTCCGAATCTTGATAGGTGGTAGTAAAGTTTTGCCCCGACTGTTTTCAAGAACTCGTACGTATTCGATCGTGTCTTACAGTTGACTTTCAAGACGAGGACTTTGATCAAAGGATATTTGGTAGCAGAGTTCATTCCTTCGCATCGTATGTGAGCGTTATTGTCCGACGCGTTCACGAGCATCGTCAGCTCACTGGACACTGCGTGATCTCTCGTTCTGGTAGTTCCAGGTACCTGTAGCAAGGGATACATCCATAAATAAATACACCTGCTCATCCTCATCTTCCAAGAGTACATCGAAAAAGAATCACGCTACGAGACCTTAACTACCGATAACTTAAATATTAGGTTGTCCAAAAAATTCGTTTAATGATGGTTGTCTCTCTTCAGTTCGGATCGTTATGAACTCGACGAGGACTTGTGCAAATATGAAATTATAATTTGAGAAAAATCGCTGTTTCGGCCAACCCGATAGCTTCTCCCAAGAGTGAGCACACCTTTAAACGATCCCAACGCGGACATCCATTCACCCACCTTTCTGTCGTTCTTGTACCAAGTCAAAGTAGCCAGCGGATTTCCCGAAATAGCGGTGCACATGAGTCGCAGGACCGTGCCAGCGTCTATCGTCGACCCCTCCTCGTAGCCACTGATGCTGAGCTTCGACGGTGGGTCTGCGCACGATAAAACACGTCAAGTGCTACTCTCGAACGTAATTTCGAGCGACACCGTTCCATTCGACGACGGTAAAACCGTCTAGGCGAAAATACTTAATTCCCCCCGAACGGAGGGGAACAAAGCACCGGAGAACAAGCGTAGCCGGATCGAAGCAGAATTAATTTTGCCGCGAGTTTGCGTTACATCAGGAAACAGGGGAAGGCGGGGCATCGTAGTTAGAGCGAAGCCAAATTCACGGAACCAGGATAAACCGACAAGACACGGAACAGTGCAAAGTCTGAGCTTGCTCGGGATTAGTTTCATATTAATCCCGTAACTAGGTCCGGATTGCGCGGGGATTAGGTTTACACCGCATTCATTCGGTTAATTGCCCATCGTGTACTCACAAATCACGTTTATGGTGTGCGTTTTGACGACGTTCTCCGTGAGCTTGACGTTTGTCGCGTCGCATATCACCACGATGCTGCGGCTGGTGCGATTAATGTTGAACGTCACGTTGGACATGGTGATCCATCCTCCCTGAGGCGCGCGCTCGGTCCTCGAGGCGTTACTTTCTATATTGTGACCGTCCACCGTCCACTTTATGTCCGCCGGCGGGTTCGAGTTCTCCGTCGTGCAAGTGATCACCACTTGCTCGTCGGCCTTCGCCTCCGTGGGACCGGTGATCGTCACACCCAGCGGCGCGACTGGAAACGATTTACCGGTTCGTTACGAACGACGGATAGGCAAAGGTTTCGTCGATATGCCCGGGATGCCCTTGGAAATTTGAAATTCGCGGTGGCGGTCTCTCATCCCTTATTTCCCTCCCTTATTTTTTGGTTAATCCTTCGCGGTCACCCGGGGACAAAATGTCCCCAAGCGCCACTTCAAGCTAGAATTACTACAAGTTATTAATTTTATGAAAATATATCAAAAATTGTCAGAGTTATGATTCTCTTTAGTAAATACTGTTTCTCTTACGCATATTGCCTCCTTGCTGATTTTTTTTCGCCATTTTGGAAATTTGATAAAAATTTTTTGCTACGATATTCTCATTCTGAAAGGTTCGAACTAATATCCTGAATTTTTATGAGTCGTTCGAAACGATACTGGCAACGCGGCAATCATTTAAACATGGCTGGGGTCATCGGGACCTCCTGCGACCGGGCGCGGAACGTGCGACCTCGGAGGGTTAAAGTAAATCTCAAATAAAATACTTAAAACCGTTGGTAGCTGCTGATAACGAAATTGAAATATAATTCGGTAGAGTAATAATAAAACGAAGTAATACGTAAATTTATTCTCGTAAATTTATTCTTAAGGAGCTCGATACTTACAGAGGACGGTGAGGTCGACGTGGACCTTCATGGGCTCGACGCTCATAATGTTGGAGACCTCGCACCTGTATCTGGCATTGTTATCTTGCGCTTTCGCGATGATGGACAACACGCTCTCGGAGAAGCTGCCCTCGGTGCGATACACGGTCGTGACCTGTTCGTTGTTTCTGTACCAGATGATCTGAGCAGGCGGATTTCCGCCTCGCGATCGGCAGGTTAGCTCCAGCTGCTGGCCGCGTTTCACGGTCTCGCCTTCCGTGTATCCCTCGATGTAAGGCATACCGGGCAGATCTGAAAATTATTCAATCGAGCGTCGAGTCCCTGAAACCTTCCTCTTTTAATGGAGAAAGTTTCTTAATAGAAGCTCGCGGGAAGGAGAGGAGCGAGAAACAGAACAGGAACGATTAATACGCGAGCAAAGGTTTCATCTGTGACGACCGATCAACGCAGCTCGACTTGGATAATCAGCTAAAAGAGTAGGCTGCGATCGTTCTGATAAAACGTAATTTTTTTGACGGTGAGAGAGGTTGTAGCTCTCCTCGAGCCAATCGGCAAATTAGAAGATACGAGCTGCAGGATTGGAAAGAATCGTAGAGTCTAATAATCGGAGTCCTCTATCGCTGTTTGAGATTTAAGGAAACGATCGCTCGAAAACATCGGTAATTGAAGCGGTGGGTATTTAATCGAAAAGAAATTGTTTCGGATGGAAATAGAAGTATATAGATTCGATAAAGACGAAATAAGATCTTACAAAACACGGAAAGTTTGATGGTGGCCCTTAAAGGCATGTCGATCGGTATGGCGGGATGGTTGGCCTCGCAAGTGTAGTCCATGTCGTTGTCATCCGCGGTGGGAACGATGACGATGGACCCGTGGGTGTCGTATTTGAGCAATTCCTTCTTACTTTCGCCAGGCTTCTGCAGTTCTTTGTCTGAAACATCGAGAAACGTGCGATAATTTCGCAAAATGTCCGTAAACAATGGTAATCGGCGAAAATCGATCCTTTCGAAACGCCAGATTACAATAACCCCTTAATTCCGTTCCATTTGCTTCGGCCAGAATTCCACGCCAAATCCTCATAATTCATTTCGCATCAACGATCCGTCTAAACCTGCAATCCGTGCAACACGGCTCGCAATGTGGAGTTTAATTAATCCGACGAGAATTTTAATTGTGCATATTCGACGCGGCACGGTGGTAATTCGCGAGGTCTATGCGCGGTGAGATGCTTCTTAAAAATTCAAAATTCGCGATGCGAAAGCGTATCGATCGGCACGAAAATATTTCAACTGTCGGACCTCCTTTGACGGATTCGAAAAAGAGAGAAAAATTAATTTACTATCGGTAACGTTTCCAGAATACGTTTCACGACTACAGAGAACTATGTCGCGAACAATTGGTCGAAACGTCACGCGTACGTAAAAGTCTTCGCTTTTAGGGTTGTCTGTATTTTTAAACAGGGCTTATTCTATAAAATGTCCGAAACGTTCTAGTTTTCCCGCGGTCAGACTAGAACAACTCCTTAAAAGGATGGAACTTATCGCGCGGGCGTTGAAACCAAAATGGAATTGGACCCGAAACGGTATCGTCGTAAATGAAAACGATGCGAACCGATCCCACGAATTCGGCTATCAATTTTGGCTGCTTTTTGCAGCTTGCAACCGCGTTCGTATTTCCGATTAATAACGCCGGTAACTGACATCGTTGCTGAACTCGCGAATTTCTGAAATGAAATAAAGAGCCATCGCTACTTCGGTTAAAAGCCTGTCCAGTCCTGTTTGACGATGATTTAACAACTTAACAGTGTCGGCCCCGCCGACGCTTTATTCGCCAACGATCGAGAGTGCGACCTAAATAAATATCAGCGAAACACCGTGATGTAACGGCCGTCGAACTTCTTTAAAATAAAATTCACGGTTTATCGGGTGAAGCACTGCTTCTCGGAATTTAGTCGAAACGAAAATTTACGATCGATCCTCCGGTGTGGAAGCAATTCCGGTAGATATAAAACGCAAATATAAATTTTTATAAATCGTTATAAATTTTCCAGAAACCTTATAACAAGTACCAGTACATTCTTTCCCGGGCGGTTAATTAATCGATTACTGGGAGCAAACGGAATTTTCATACGAGTTTGTTACTCCGGTTTGAGGACGGATAACAAAATTGCTTGGTTAATTACGGATCAACAAAGGGAACCAAGAGACAAGGCGGAGGCAATCAGCGACGAGCTCCTATTGACTTAGAAAACGATCACCAACGGAATTCGGTGCTCGGGAACGTGTGCGAACGGCAGGCGAAGTTGCGTGTGCACAGTTAGAAGTAGACTAATTCGCGAAACTTAGTTGTAAACTAGTCGTAAACCACCGAAATTTTGCCTCCACCGGCGAAATCCGATTCGCGGATGGCCGGGACGCGTGAACGTGCCATTCGAATCTGTCTCTTTTGTTTTCGAAAAACCAAGAAATTCTGCGTTCCGGAAGAGAGCGTTATTTGTGAACACAGGATAAATATCAGACGTCATCGGGAAGTGAAATTGAAAGATGAAAAAGTGGCACTCTGGGTCCGAGACAGTGACTCTTTGAATACAGTAAATAGACATCCAACGAAAATGGAATACTAATGTTCACTTGTAAAACAATTCCGAGATTACAAGATTTTTACGTTTCGCCGCGTTACTGCTGCGAAACCGACGGTCCGATTTATTAACAAGAGGAATTAAACGCGGCAGACGGCTGAGAACGTTATTATACGTGTAGCGGGGGGAATTATTTCATCTCGCCAAAATGGAAAATAGTTTTCCCGAGAAGAAAATTGGCCAGACGCGGAATGTCTGCCCGACGGGCGGCTCGCCGGCTATCGCGGCTAGGGGGATGCGAAAATTTCTTGAAAAATTAAAAGTCAACCGTGATAAAGTAAATAGAGCCCGAAAAAATAGAAATAGCGTTTGTTTCCCGTGCTCCTATTCGATCGAAAAAACGGAATTGAAATTCGTCCGCTGAATATTTCCAAGTCTCGCGAGGGCTTCCCGACGAAACTAGCAACGCGAAAATTTGAATGTTAAAAATATTATTTTCTTTCTAAATCGATATCGATGCAATTACTATCCATAGGCCCATACGCCGTAAGTAATGGTAATTAATGTAGCATTTATTCGATAAATTGAAGTAAGTAGTAAGTTCGATAATAAATCTAACAAAAAAAAAAAAAAAAAAAAAAAAAAATAAATAGCGAACGTGTACGATACTAGCCAGTACGAATAAATCTTGCAACGATACAGTCTAAAAGGTTAGCGTTTTTAGTATTTCCATCGGCCACGGACGAGGAGTCCTTTGAGGATTTCAACACTTTGTCGCTGAGACGCTGCGGGAGAAGATGTTCGAAAAATTCGTCCGCGAGCATGCAAATATCTTGAAAACCGCGCGCTGAGAAACGCACGGAGAGTAAATCGTGAAAGTTTTCGAACAGGCAAGGAGCTTCCAGCGTTCCACAAAAGCAACCATTCCGTTGAAAGATGTAACAAGTGGAAAAAGGGGGGAGGTAGGAAACGATGACATGGATCCACGGGCCCGCCGGACACGTTCGTATTCTTTGATAAATCCGGCAAAGCAAGTGGTCACTTTGACAAAAAACGTCCGAGGAAGTCGAAAAGGAGTTTAAACGCTGCTTCAAAGCTGGGATCCAGCCGCGACCTCAATTTCGTTCAGACTTTTGTTCTGCTTGGATCTTGTCGACTTGTATTTATTATATAACGGAGAATTCCCGAAACCGGGTTACCCCCATTCTCTCCCAAATTGCTCAACTTTTCAACTTCAAACGCGAATATCACGTGTACAAATGTACAATTTCAATTTCTAAATTATAAATTAAAATAACAGCTTATACCGCGATTGGGTTACTTTTACCGAAATTACTCTTTATATCTATTAAAAAGATTTGTTTAAATTAAAAGATAGTTTCAAAATAAATGTTTCGTTATAAATACTGTACAGACAGACTGTACATATCCAATTAAAAAATGTAGATTCTGTGAAAATTTGCACCAATAAGATATTTACTTTATTATTCGACGGCTTCGTATTATTCCACGAGAAACCTTTCGCACGATTCAGTGGATCACTCCACGCGTCGCTTTGAACGTCTCTGGTAAAAGGCTTCGTGCCGCTTTTCCTCCTCTCCGGGATGTCAAATCATTTTTCCGCGCGCGTTAATATTTAAACGCTGCCCTATTCTCCTCTGCAGTGTTTTTTGAAAGCACACTAGAGAATAACTTAATAGAGTGTCTTAGTTGCTCCATTATATCCTTTCCAACAATGCACTTCCCTCCGCGTTCGTCCCATATTCCCTTCTTTTCGTGCTCCTTCAACATGGTTAACGTTTCATGATCTCCAGGGTCGTAACTACGGTTTGCAGTACTTGTTTCAGTAGCTTGAAAGTTTGATCTATGGCCGTACAGGCTGCGCGAAGATTTTTCGTCCGTAATTCGGGTCCGTCTGCTTCGTTAAAGATGCTCTTGCCCTGGATCCTATTAATTGCAACTTGGTTCTTCAGTTTCCTCTCTTGGCGCGTTTAAATATTATTTTCTGATTTTCAAAGCAACGTTCACTTTTCGTAAAATAGCGGATATTTTGATTGTCGGCGATACTAGTACCCTGTTTAAAGTTAAACAAAGTTTAACGTTGCCGTACTTTTCAGTTTGCGGTAGCTAGCGAGGCAATTTTAAACGTGCAAAGGGAAGAAATAGAAACGTCAGTACAGAAATTAATTCTTTTGCCTTTTGTTCAGTGTTCGTGACGTACGCGAGTGCGGATGAACGTAACTTCGTTTTCTTTTAAATTCTCGTTTCTGCGACTATTCAGAATCTGCGCGTACATTTTTTACCGAATGTTAAACGAGCAATTTAAAAACGTTAACCGAAAAAGTTGCACGCATTCGAATGGTCAGTTTTCTTTTGGATACAATAATAAACCTCAAACTTTTTAATCGACGAATATCGTTTATTTTTCACAATTTACTAGTTTATAGGAAAATGTTACGAGTACCAAGTCGAGGATTATCGGGGAATTAGCTACTCATGATCCTCTAGTGGTTCAACCAAGGATCCCAGAGCCACTGGTGATCTAATTAGGGAGTCATGCCACTTTAGTAATCCAAATGGCAGTCCATGACTCTATCGGTAATCCAACTAAGACATTCATGACCCTTTAGTAATTCAATAGATCAGCTACGATTACGTCCAGGCGTATAGCGTGATTAGGCAATCTTTTCAAATATTCTCATTCGTAGATCCACCAAGTAATTAGCTATCCACGATCCCCTGGCGATTCAATTAGGGATCCCAGATCCGTCAATAGCACAAGAGACTCCACGACTCTCTAGCGATCAAATCCCAAGTAGCTATCTACTATGACTCCGTAGTAATCCAATCCAAGTAGCTTTCCACTGCGACTCTGCGGTAATCCAATCCAAGTAGCCATCTTCTCCGATTCTGTAGCAGTCTAACCGAGATACTCGCGACACTCAAACGATCCAACAAGGTATCCACGATCGGTAAGCAACTCCTTCGTGGTATTGATTCCGCCACGGACTTAGCGGTTCATGAATTCAGTTATCGAGCAGCCGTCGATTATCATACATTATTCAATTCTCGTTACAAGTCGCCATCCGATCCGGGAATGGCTCGATGGAATTTCAGCGAAGCGGCGAACTGCGTGCTCCGTATCGTCGATGGTTCTCGTACCAGTTGGCGAAGCCACTTACCGAGCTTTTTGTCTCCGCCAATTTCCCTCAAGTATTTGGAAACTGTCGCGGCGTTTAGGCCAACTCACGCCTCGAGTTCCCCGACAGTTTGACACGAATCTCCTTCGAGTAGCGTTTTCAAACGTTTCGTGGCCACGAAATTGAGGCGATTAGAAACGAATTTTGAACATAGCTGACGAACCGAGCTGGTCGTTAGGTCGAGCGTTTACCATTTAGTTCGTGTGACGTTGATATAGGTGGGAAGACCGTTTTCTTAAAAAATATTTCTGGAAGTGCGTACCTCTCGGTAATGTTTCCGTGCGGTTCGATGTCTGAAGTGTTCAGAACGAAGAGATAAACAGATGTTTCGGGTCGACTAAGCCGTCAGACCGGGATTTAAATAAAGATAACGAGCGGATCGAATCGCTCTGTTTCATATTCATTAATTATTATACACAAACGTTGGGGGGAGGGGTTAACGATGCGGTCTTTGCTCGGTCAAACAATTACCAGCCTTCTTTTTCCACCGGCGTCCCCTGCTTATTACTTCTGCTTCCGCCGCACTCGTCTTTTATAACATTTCCCTCTCCGGGCGATGCTTCGCCTTTGTCTCGAAGCTCGCGTTTCGTACGGGATCGATAGTGCTCGGGGTGGACCCGATTTTACTTCCGAAGATTCCTCCTTCGTCTCTTCGGCGAAAACCGAGGGCGCGTCTTCCCTCTCGTTTCTTTTGTTTCGCCTCGCCTTCGAGTAGAATTGTTGTTCCAACGTACGACGACATCGCCCGGAATCAAGGGGGACTTTAATTGTCGGTAAAAATGGATTAAGGGTGGAATTAGGTTCGCGGAGGTCCCGTTGAATCGACGCCCGGAATCCACTTTAACGCGTTGCTTTTGTGCCTGATCGATTGACCGATGCTCCACAGGATCAACGCGAAAGAATTTTTAATTCGAGAGGGTGGCGCTCTTCGTTAACCCCCCCCCCCCCCCGCGCCATTTTATTCTACTCGAAGTTAATGTGTCGGAGGTTAGATAAAACGATGGATTCCTTCGCGAGAAATTAACGGGTACGAGTGAAAAAAAAAATACGAAGAATCGCGAACGCAGAACGAGATGCTCGGTTGAATTTGATTAACGAGAATCAGTTGATTCCCATTGGCTCCCACGCCGGTAATTAAATTACTTTGTGATCCACGAGTAAACAAAGGTTAATCATATCTCGAGGAGATTGTACGAGGGTGGGACTTGATTTCGGCAAGAAAACTCATTCGTCTCGTTCTTGTTTCCATCTCCCCCGGTGTCAATTATTTCTACTCGATTTATCTTGTCGAGTCTCGAATTTTGCCGGGGTTTGTATTTCGTTGGGACTGTCTCGAGATTTTCGTATCGAAGCCTTTTCTCGACTACCTTGTAACTGTACGATTCGCGACTCGCGATTTTCTCACGTGAACTTGAAAAGCATCCATTTCGTTTCAAAAAATAAATTACGACGAAGTGGATGCCATGTAAATATAACATCAGGAAACATTATTATATCGATGATAGAACAATGAATATTTTTTTTTTTTTTTTTTTTAATGATTACAAAACTGCCGGATCGAATTCTAATTACGATAATCGCGGAAAGTTAAGTTTTATAGTTAGCAACGTTCGGACTGAAAAATGTTTCTAATATATCTACGTGTGCAAATACGTTTTCGGGACAGAGGTCGATATAAATCGTTTTCGAGAGTCCCGACGTCGACTCTTATCGCGAAGATAAGAAGTTCGAGAGCCGCTTGATGATTCTTCGTCAATTTTAAGGGGTGGAACGCTGAACGATGAGTTTACTTACCACCCTCGATGGAGATCGGCGTAATCACCGTGTCACCCCCTTTGATTTGCACGTTTCCGCGATACCAGACGATCGATGCAGCCGGTTTCGCCGATCGAACGACGCACTCTAAGCGCCGCGATTCGCCAACCTTCACCTCGATCTTCCTCCTGTTAGGGTGGTTGCTGATCTCCACTTTCTGCGGTGGCGCTGTAACAAAAAAAAAAAATCAGGTGAACTTTCGGTCCGATTCTTGCTCTTCGATGAATGTAACGAAGTGATTCTTCCACGAGTTATTCCGTTAATTCTTTTTAAGAACTTGTTCGTTGTGTTTCGCCTGCGCGTGCTCACGATAATCGATGCTTTCGCGTTATCGAACGAGTGCACGGTAACTTTTTTTTTTTTTTTTTTTCATCGCACTGCATTATTAATAGTCGTTCCAGGTATTCACGCGAACAAAAGTGCGCTATATATAGGTTAATTAATTCCTTATGCGCTAGCGCAGCCAAAAAGATTAACAGCAGCCACTTTCGCATATTTCAGAGATTTACCTCAAATCGGCCGATACTTTAACCATCATAAAGATCATAAAGGAATTTGTAGCGAATAGTTCGACTAATTAAAATCCATAACTCTTACACTATCCATCGGTATGAAACGTTTATTTTTCGTAAGGTGCTAGCTGGATTTCCAGCCCTACGTCAAACTTTCTCTATTTCTTGTTAGTCGCCGCAGCTCTCTCGCACCGTAAATCTTTTTATCCTTTGAGAGGTGACCCAAATACATTCTCTAAAGTTCGTCACGCGTGCGATCAAGGCATCCCTCTTCGTCCGATGAACCCTCCCTTCGACTCGAAATATTTTTCGTTTCTCTTCGACGCGGCCAAGGCTCGGCTGTACGTCATTGTTACGCTCGGTATATTGTTCCAGGAATATTTTCAGCCCCCCCGATACGCTTCTCTGCTCGCGAACAGCCCTTTCGGTTGCATAGCCCCAGCGACCGATACGCGCCAGGGACTGGGCTGGCAGCGAGGAGTTCTGAAAATTCGCGTAACGTCAGCTGGTGGTGGGACAGGGGAGAAGGGAGCACGAAACGATCTTGCAGGAAAAAAGGGGGAGAAAAAGGAAAACACAAACGCATTGGCCGGGAAGCTCCGTGGGTAACGGTTATTTGCCACTTCATTTGGCCCGATGCAACGTGCTCTCGATCGGTTCGGCGGCATGGCGCATCGTTGAAGAAGAGTCTTTCCATCTAGGGAAGCCCCGGCTATCGATATCGGAAAATACGTTTTCGACCAACAGCCGTTGGCCCAGGCTGGAGTATACAGCGGCTAGGAGTACCTCTTGATTTGCGAGTTACTCTCCATGGAATTCTTCATGCGCGCACCGTTCCGCAACGGATTACGGGGGAGGGGATAGGGGAATTAACCCTGGACCGTGATATAACAGGAGTGCACTTTCGCCTGCTAGTTCATCTGTTGCAATTCGACGGGAACACCAACTTCGCCGATCGGGGGGAGGGGGGTGGGGAGGACGTTTCGCTCCTTTTCATCCGACTTTGCTGCTGTTTTGCTTCGTTTCGTTCAAATTCCTAGAGGATGCTAGGAGCTGATAGAGAAATCATTTGCTCGGAACGAAGAAGAAGACCCCGACGTCTATTAACGTTTCGATTCTTTGTTTTTATTCTAAAAAAGTACAAGGATTAAATGTACGATGATCGCCGAACGAATTCGTTTCTTTCTGTTGATATTCGAGCAATCGCGATTTAAATTAGTATCGTACCCGGTTGGTAGCGCAGTCTCGCGAGGAGAAGCAAGATGGAGCGCGGTAGATAGTGCTGTAGCGTCTGCGGAGGAGAAATTAGGCGAGGGAATAGAGGGAGAAATTAGGCGAGTAGAAAGACGCTCGGCGTTTAAGCGGGGAGCGCACGCTGACACAGGAAACGGTAAACACGGTTTAGTGATGCTGTTATCGCGGGTGGACAGCAAAGGGAAATATTGCACCTATTACTCGCCGAATACCTTTGCCACGGCCGGGGGCGTAATTCCAGCAGAGAGAATGCTCCGCTGGGTTCTTTCTTTCGGCGAAACGTAGCCCGGACCATTCGTCCACGTTCGTTTTTATCTGGCGAAATTGTCGGTTTTCTCGAGCGTGTAGATTAGGGGAATCGAGGGGGAAAAAGCAAACCGGGGGAATCTTTATTTCTCCTCGTGGTTTCCTTCCTAGGACCGCTACACGCGTTTTTCTGGACCGAGAGATGTACATCGTCGACCTTGCCGTTATCAATGCCCCCTCCCCCCCCCCTCCCACCCCTCCTCACCCTCGCTAGGCTCTCGGCGAGGAATTAGAACTTTAATGTGATCAATTTTTGCTAGTCGACTCGTGGCGGAGAAAGTCGTTATTTAGGAGGGAAAGAAAGTTTTGGGTAATTCGAACGAGGTAGGCAAATAAAGGGAGAAATTTTTGATAAGATTATCCAATGTAGCTGGCCATATTAATCTGGTACAATATGTTTTTATCTATTTTGTTTTCTTCTGGAAGTGAGCGTGCTTCGTGTTTTTGTTTTGCTTGCTTGAACTCTTTGTAATTAATTGTACTTGAGATGGAAATCGAAGTCCTGTTTGGAATATTCTCTGGAATTTGTCAAACTGCAATCGTTAATTCAAACGTGTGTTCTCATTGAAGAACACAAATAGCGAATTAATAGGTATTATTTATTTTAGTACGTATAGGGAACATCCCAACGCAAACACGAATAGTGCCAGGTCATTTCGATAATTGGATTTATATCTGTACATGGTGTTTCTGAATGGGTGAGATATATACGTGAAAAATGGACAACACCGTTTATTTGTACGATGGTACGATCGAGTTAGAAGCCACGTCTGACCATTACTCGGTATTTCTACTTGCCTTGGTATCGCTAGTATCGAGGATGAAATGATGTTATTTCTTTCGCGATGATTTCTTATCTTCTTCTTATCTTCTCATCTGATATATAACGTCATCTAATTATGCATGTTCGAGGTCCACAAGTGCCGGCGCAAGGTAAGGGACGAACTTTCGTCGAAGAGTAAAGACTTAATTTCTTCTTTGAAATTTACAATTTCCACAGGGATAGTTGGAGAAAATAAATGGACATCGTAAAGATTAAAGCATCGAGCGGCTAATCCCGAAAAATGAATGAAACAAACACACGTACACACCTCGGCAGTGGAAGGAGAATAATTTCGAGCAAAAGATGCGTCGCAGATTGGCCCTAGGGTCTAGACGCAACGCAGATGAAGCAATTCGCATTCCTTCCTCCCGGAAGTCACCCCTGCGCTCGTTATACCGTTCCCTCGCAACCCCTTTCCAACGTTCCCCTCGTATCAGACGCAGCAAAATTGAACGCGATTTCGTGGCGCGTGTCGCGCGCAGAAGCGCCTATTTTACATTTTCTAGAACAGTGAGCTGGAAGTCCAGCAATATCGTCGGATCGTGGGATTGCAGCGACGTCGACGGAACGCTGGAACAGAAACGACGCAAGGGCGAGGGGAGGATACCTGGTTGGATTCACGCGTTGCGTTCCAGGGATTGGAGAATGCGCGAAGAACGGGACGACGCGGCGGGGGAGAGTTGGAGGGTTGGAGAGTTGTTTCAGGGTTTAGCGATAATTGAGTGAGCGAATGCTGTATCGCCGTTGGGACTTCGAACGGGCGTCGAGTGTACAAAATGTGTCTGAAAAGTTCTTCCACTGTTCCAATCGCGGCGACGCACGTCGAATCGTTTCCGAGAGAAGAAACGACTCCACAATGGCCGATTTTAACAATCCAAGTGGACAACGAAGGGGACGCTTCCTCAGGGAAAAAGACAGACATCCATTTAATTCTGAATGTAGACGTTTCTGGTGGACGTGGACGTTGTATCGAGTTCGTACGTGGTTGTGTACATACGGTTGTTCGGAAAAGTAGATTTCCATCCTGTATGTATAATTAATTTTTTATAATTCTAGCTGGGAACACGAGGACTGGACAAATTTCGAAAACCAAAGAGTAATTTCCTCTCTAGAATTTTCAGAAATAGTTTACAACGATAGTTTTAATTGCAAGCGAAAATACTACGAGTACCTTTCCTCGACAGAGCGTACGAATTTGATGTGTTATACGATCGAATACTCTCGGTCTGTACTAGAGTTAGTTTTAGAAGAGTCGTCGACACGCGTCGCCAGACTCACTCTGCTCGCACGCGAGCGGTACAAAGCATGTCTGAAAAGTTGTTGGAATCGCGGCGACGCGAGGGGACAACGCTTTGACGCGAGTCGATTGGCTCGAAGGAAAGAAATGATCGTCTACGAGGCGAACTTCCACCGACGGATAGGGGAAAACTAATTATTTTCCGTCCGTCAAGAGTCACCGATTCTCGTCCCCTCGAGAATGAAGTTTTCCTTGATTTTCTATTTTTTTTTTTTTTTCCTTTCATTTGGACGTGGATGCGTGTTTGTCGAGGCGATTGATTCGATTGGCAGGAATTGATCGAACGATGGGAGGGAATCGAATTTGTTAAAGAGGCTTGTGTCGACGATACGTGCGGGCGAGCGATTGGAGCGATGCTATCGTTGGCCTCCGAGAAGAATGCTTCCGACAAGTACACTCGGGTCGAACGATCACGTCCACGTTAACACGGGCCACCTGTGTACCAACGCGAATACTCATTTCTACAAAAGTATCTTTTTATTTCAAATTCACGTTGAAAATATAGCGAGTCCCCTTTCGATTCACAGAATCGCCTCAAATTTCCGAGTTGAATTCTTTTTTTCGCTAAAAGTGCCTACTCTCGCGAAAATCTATCTCCCGATGAGTTTATCTTTTCGTGCGAGGCTGTCGAGAGGTTTTCGAGCGGTGTCGCGCTTCTCGCGAGAAAAGACAAGGAAAAGGGCGGGCGGGGGAGGAATGCCGGGTAGATCAGTTCCCGGACAGAGCCTGTCCCAACCCGGGGCGAGTTATTCCTTGACAATCGTTTTACTTCGTAGGTGACGTGGAAAATACGGCGTTTAACGGATCCTCGCCGTTATCCACGCGAGAAGAACCACCGATGGCCGTTTTCACGGAAAACTGGGAAAGTTGTCGCGGCCTAGTTTCGCGAAAAGTGTTTTGCCGCTGTTCTACACAGTTTAATGCCCGACCGCGTGTGCACGCCGCGCTTCTAACGCCGGTTGTTAATGCGTTACTT